CAACCCGGCAACCCCCCCCCCCCCCCCCGAGGGGGATTTAAAATAAATACGATGGCCGAGATTTGTAAATATCTCATGGAAACACAGGAAGCAAAAGCATTTTTATTTTCATCCCAACCCGTGCACTTCAGGGCTCTTCCTACTTTAAAGGGACCCTGTCAGATTAAAATCAGGTATTTTTAAAATAACCACAACTTCTTTTAGGCACCTGAGCTACCAGACCCCACCAGTAAAAGCCTGCCGAGAAGTGTGTATGTTATTATGCAGGCTCAAGGAAAAATATTCTGCACAACTGGACAGTGGGTTAGCTGTGCCTTTGAATAAGCCTTGGCATTAGGTGAATGATGACTTTTTGCTTCTGTAGCAGTGCACTTACTGGATTATAGAACAGCAAGAATTATTTGAGGACAAATAGATCACCATCTTCAGTTATATTAGGGAGAAGGATATTCACCATCAATTTTGACTATCAGTTTTCAGTGGAAGATTGGTACCTTTCTGATCCTGGATCCCTCTCTTCCAGCCATTACATACAGTCCTATAACCCCTAAATGTGTCAACAATAAATCCTATGTCCTCCAGTTTTCAACTGGAGTAAATCCATGTCTATTTACAGCAGTGCATTTTTTTTAGTGGCAAGAATTTTAAAATCTATTTGATGTCAGATGTTTGCTGTTTGTTTACTCTCTGAATATTCAAAAGCTTCAGAGGGGTAGCCAAGTTAGTCTGTAACTGGAAAAAAAAATAAAAAATAATGAATAGTCTAGCAGCACCTTAAAAACCAACAAAACATGTAGCTGGTATAACAATTTGCACCTTCTCTATCAGCTTCATGTAACATGAACACTCTAATTGACTTTTGTCACCTTTTCCCCTTCCTTCTCTCCCCACTCCCCATCCTCTACTATTTATTTTGGAACTGGACCTTTAATACTCCATTTATCTGAAGAAGTGAGCTGTGCCCACAAAAGCTCATAATACCATCTACATGTTTTGTTAGTCTTTAAGGTGCTGCTAGACTATTCGTGGTTTTTTAATTTCTTTGAACTTTGTTAGTTATCTGCATTGTGGTTGCATCCGGAGGGACACAGTCTAACTGTGCTAGGCACTACAGAAACTTACAGCAAAGAGTCCAGGACCCAAAGAGTTTTATATTATATTGCTCATTCTTGTCATTCCTACTCATGCTATTCATCTCACTGAGGTCAATGGGATGGCTTTGAATGAATAAGAATTGGGCATTAGGGAGCCACGTTTCTTCCAGTAGCTCTCCTATGTCAGAGCTTGGTGACATGAATGATTTGTCTGCCTCTGGATTAGGTTTGCATGAACAGTTTTGTAATAGTTATTCTGAAATAATTGCATCCACGTGTCCAGCTTTAACCTACTCCCCTTTGAATCAGTGTATACATGCAATACTGACATTTTTTCTAAGGTAAGTACTCAGAATTCTATCAAGGTCTTCACTGATGCTTTGTCCTGCTGGTGAGCTCTATGCATTTTGGGATTTTTCTCATAGTGCATTATGGGAGAGCTAGCAGAAGCCATGCAAATTCAGAGACTTGGGGTCCCAGTAGCTAATTCCTATGAATCCTCTGCTGGCATCCCATGATTTATTCATCTTTTGTGAATCAGGGCCATTTTCAAGCTGCTGTCAGCCAGCACAGAAGGAACACAGCTACGTGCCACGGTCCAGACACTCATTAATATACAGAGGTTGCTAGACATGCATTAGTGATCATGCACCCGGATGGCTTTGGAAGCCGGCCATTGCACTGCAGAGTTGATATTGATAGAGGAAAAAGACATTGAGCGGCTAATTGTATTGGGGGGGGGAGGGAGGAAAGGGGAGAGAACTTGGCCTAGAGAAGATTCATGCAAATGAGAGTTGTTTCTGTACTCGGGAAACCAACCCTCTGGCTGCGTCTAGACTGGCAAGTTTTTCTGCAAAAGCAGCTGCTTTTGCAGAAAAACTTGCCAGCTGTCTACACTGGCCGCTTGAATTTCTGCAAAAGCACTGACGATCTCATGTAAGATTGTCAGTGTTTTTGTGGAAATGCTATGCTGCTCCCGTTCGGGCAAAAGCCTTCTTGCGCAAACGCTTTTGCGCAAGAGGGCCAGTGTAGACAATGCGGTATTGTTTTGCGCAGAAAAGCCCCAATCGCGAAAATGGCGATCGGGGCTTTCTTGCGGAAAACCGCGTCTAGATTGGCACGGACGCTTTTCCGCAAAAAGTGCTTTTGCGGAAAAGTGTTTTGCCAATCTAGACGCTCTTTTCCGCAAATGCTTTTAACGGAAAAACTTTTCCGTTAAAAGCATTTGTGGAAAATCATGCCAGTCTAGACATAGCCACACTTCTGGGGAAAGATAGTGATGATATAGCCCAGTAGTTGGAGGATTAGATCCATAGATTGAAAATAAACTAGTCTTTTTCACTTTCTTTCCTCTCGCTGCTAGATACATTATTTCTGGCAGCAGCAATGTGCTAGGCACTGTACAAAACAAAGGAAATAATTAAATTAATGGAGATTGCCTATCTCCTGCAACTGGAAGGGATGTTTAAAGGTTGAGTCCAGTCCCCTGCCTTCACAGCAGGACCAAGTACTATCCCTGACAAATTTTTGCCCCAAATCTTTAAATGGCCTCCTCAAGGATTGAACTCATAACGCTGGGTTAGGCCAATGCTCCAACCACTGAGCTACCCCTCACCCCAAGGATAACCAGAGACTGCAGAAAAAAGGAACAATGCAAAGCAATTAAAACAAAACAAAAAAATTAAATGAAAGGGATATTGCTTGCCCCAATTCTGCATCTGAGTAACTTCACACTCGTGTATAACTGGAAATCCAGGGCCTTTGCGGGGAACTTCAGGGGAGAGAAAAGCACTTAGGGCTAGATTGAGGCTCTGGTGGTAACAGGCATGTCATGCAACTGCAGTGGCCCAAAAGGAAAAAAATATAACTCAAAGGTACCCTTCATAATCATAATTCCCCAGGAGAACCTCTCTTGCACAAGTAGGAGGGGCAGCATTTTCCACCAACCCATTGCTATACACAGTACATTCCCTCCTTTGTGCTCTGCTCAGCCATTTATCACAGGAGTGGAGGGCAAAACCAGGAATCAACCAAATCCCTGTTCTTTCCTATGCATCTTTGGTCCCTTCCTGTTCACTCGTGTGCTGTGGGGAATGACGACTCCATGGAACCAGTTCTTATCCCAGTGTTTGGGCTTCCTATCTATGCAAGCCTTCCATGAGCACGTAGTGTGTGCGTGCAGGGAGGCCCAGCAGTGCTTTTACTCCTCTATGTCGCCATACAGGGCTAGGTTACAATGTAATCCTTAGGAAGTAAGAAAATGTCATTGCAAAACTATAAACATAGGTAGGGGGAGCCCAGGCCTGTGTAATACCTGACACGAACTTTCACCTATTTTTATAAAACTGAACTAGATTTCACCGGAATCAGGAGTGGGGAACCTTTTTTGGGTCAGGGGCCACTGACCCACAGAAAAATCAGTCCGGGTACACACAAAAGTAAGCAGTATAAAACTCCCCCAAACCAAAAACACCTCATGGCCGTGACCCTGAACTGAGAAGCAGAAAGACACTCCCCACAATTCCCTTGCATACCAGAGCATAACGGGACCCGGGTTAGTAGATTTTGTGGGCTTCCTAGGCTCTGAGGTGGAGCCAAAAATGAGGGGTTCATTGTGTGGGAAGGGGCTTCTGGAAGTGGGCTTTGGGCTTGGGGTATTGGTGGTTCCGGGAGGATGATAGGGTGTAGGAGCAGGCTGGGGGTGGAAGGGCTGGGTAGGAGACAGGGTTCAAGGAGCAGAGTGTGGGTAGCGGGGTATTGCAGGGCTGAAGTGCCAGCACCAGCTTCCCAATGCTGGGGGAGAGCTCCCATCCTTGAGGGTTAGATCCAGGCAAGCTGGGAGCCACATCTGGGCCGTGGGTTCCCCATCCTAACCTAGATAGAATCCCTTTAAAAAACAGAGACATATTTCTACTGATATTAAGGGAGTGTGCCATTTCAATGTTTGTTCTTAATGTTTAAGGTGCTTACTGAATTCCCGAAGAAAGCATTTCGGGGTGTAAATAATGAGAGCTGATCTTCACAATTGTTTCACCATCCAGGAATGGAAATAATATGAGAAGACACAATCGTGCAAAATTTTAGCTTCATTAGTGGCTCTCTTGGGCAAAACCCACCCATCCATGGTTATCCTATACTTGCTTCCATTGTTCCTTTACAAAACGATTGCTCTGGGATCTGGCATTACACCAAGTAGGAAAAAGGTAAAGTTGCAATGAAGCCACAAGAGTGGGTTTCTGGAACTCCAGAGGAAGTCATACCCCTGTTTTAGGGATGTTGCTTATTTCAAACCAGTTTACCTCCATCTGACACAATGTTTTCTCACTTTCGTTGTAGTAGATAATTTAAGGCCAGAACCCAACTTTGCTCCCTCTGAGTAATATTCTACTCCATGGTAGAGTAAGGTATCACTCATCCTGGGCGAGCAGAATCTAACTTTTTGCTGTTTGTTTTTTCCAGTTTATTATAATGGACCTAACAAATGAAATAGATGCCAATGCAGTGCTCTGGAGCCTGGGTATTACAGCATTTGATGCCTCATAAATATCAGAGTATGATTAGGTAGCTATACAAACTACTGCCCTGCAGAAAAATTCACCACAGTAGATGGCCATGACCCCAAAATTGTAGAAACAGTTATTCTGTGCTGCAGAAATCAATCAACCCCACATCCCACTGCATTTCCTTCACTACTAGCTTTCTGTGTCCCTCATTGTGGTGTCTTTTGCCCGTGACAGGACTTCTCTCTGT